TACTGGGTAGAGCCATTGATGTCTTGGAGAAGATGCCAAAGCATGGTTGCACTCCTAATTCCCTGAGTTACAATCCGTTGCTTCATGGCTTTTGCAAAGAGAAAAAGATGGACAGAGCAATTGAGTATTTGGAAATAATGGTAAGTAGAGGTTGTTACCCCGATATAGTCACCTATAATACTTTACTAACTGCATTATGCAAAGATGGGAAGGTGGATGTTGCAGTTGAGATATTGAATCAACTAGGTGGCAAGGGGTGCTCTCCTGTTTTAATTACTTACAACACAGTTATTGATGGACTTTCTAAGGTGGGAAAGACCGATTTTGCTGTGAAACTGTTGGAAGAGATGTGTGGAAAGGGTCTTAAACCTGATATAATTACGTACTCATCTCTAGTTGGAGGGCTGAGTCGTGAAGGAAAGGTAGATGAAGCAATCAAGTTTTTCTATGATTTAGAAGGATTAGGTATTAAGCCAAATGCTATAACGTACAACTCAATCATGTTGGGACTTTGCAAGGCTCGACAAACCAGTCGTGCTATTGATTTTCTGGCTCGTATGATCTCAAGAGGATGTAAACCCACTGAAGCTACATACACTATTCTTATAGAAGGCATTGCATATGAAGGATTAGCTGAAGAGGCTTTGGCGTTATTGAATGAGTTATGCTCCAGAGGGGTTGTGAAGAAAAGTTCAGCTGAGCAGGTAGCAGTCAAAATGTAGGATATGCATATTTATTCTTAACTCACTGGCGGCTGTATCATATTATGCACTTGGATTTTGTAAGCCCCCTTGTGTCAGTGATTTGATGATCTAGAATTTTAGATTTTCATTATGAGGAAGGAGAAGCAATGCAAAGTACGAAATTCAATTTTGTCAAGATGTCTTGTAACTGATCTAGACATATTTTAGTTTTGACTCTTGAATTGTACCATATACTGCCCCGACTTCAATATGTACCATCCATATGTCTGAAACTTTCTTGATATCCATTAAACATAGTTTTTATCTCCAATTATGAGTCTCTTGCTGCAAGTCACGATTTCATATCCTACCGATACATCTATGAAAGGTATGGCAAGCCGTGTTGTTCGCAAGACCTCCGAAGCATGGCTCTCTTCTTGGGCTTCATGCCATGTTAGTTTTGAATTTGCTTAGTACTTATTGCAGGGACCCACTTCTTGTCTATACGCTGAACAGAGCAATAGTTTGCAACAAATTGTCACGCCTGCAGTTGTAAAACGACTTAATCTGATAAATTGGTGGCCATGGTTTTTCCTCATATTGGTGCCAGATTTTTAGACAGTATAGCTGGATGCTTAGATATTTTGTGACGTCAAATGGACAAATACAAATATCCTTAATGCATTCATGTTCAGAGTTCAAGCATGACATAAAGTCTAGTGAGGAAACCTTCCTGTCAATGTTTAACTAGGAGAGAAGTACCTCCTATTTTTGAGTAAATTATATAGACTTCCATTCATTTTTGCATAAAAAAAAATATAAATGCTTCTCTATATTTATAAATTATGGGTAAACCAAAAAAGTCATTTCGTACTTTAGTTCAATTTTAAGTGTTTTTTAAACAAAATATCGTCAATCCAAAATCCTTTTAGCTAGAGAAAAAATAACATGTATATGGGTTTCAATTTCGCAAAAGAATCAGGAAACGTGGAATGGACTGAGATGCAAAGTTCTGTGCAAGCAAGCACAGATGCAGGGAGATCTTCTGAAGTTGCAAAACACTACAAGATCTTTTTAGCTTGAGAGGATTCTTTGAATAAACAAATAGAGTACTGCCTCACTCCTCAAATATATTTGATATTTATTTTGGTTCTAAATATAAGATTGTAATTCATTCTACTTATTTGATATTTATTTTGTTCTAAATATAAGATTCTAATTCATTCTATTCCTCATGTTTATTTTTTTTTTTTCAAAATAGTCTTTATAATAATAGTAGTTCTAGCCAATACACTTGACTAGTAAAAATATTTTAGAAAAATCAATAATTATTTATTACAAATAACTAAATTAATTTTCTTATCTACTCAAATTAATTAACTAGCTTTCATATTAAGGATCGGATGTAGTAATAAATACCCATGCTTAAGGCAAGGCTCAATTCAACTTGATTGTGCTATAAATCATATACTACCTCCGGTCCTAATTATAAGAGTTAGTTGACTAATTTGAGGAAATTAAAGAAGTAAGTTGAGTTAGTTATTTGTCCTAAATAGGTGGTTTTTCTCTAAAATATCCTTACTAATCAAGTATATTGACTAGAACTCTTATTATTAGAAGGGTTACTTTGGCAAAAAATGTATAAATGTGAGAAATAAAGTGGATTGGGGTTTTATATTTAGGATCAAAATAAAAGTAAAAAAAAAAAGTCTATATTTACATTAGCAGCCTGAGTCATTAAATATCAGGGGAGCTGTGCCTGAGAGAACTACTTTGTAACATTGAAGCAGGGGTTTTTTCAATGTATCCTCAAGACTCAACATGAGATTCGCAGAATCACGTGAATGGATCATGCGTAATGGCCCGCCCAGTTTGTTTCTTGCGGTTTCTCTATCTACGGTCTAATACTTGAGCAGCTTTTCAGTATTTTTGGGCGTCTTTCATCTGTCTTCTGTCCAAATCCCGTGCACAAATTTCTGTTGACTAATACGGTTGAACAGAGGATGAGCAAGGCAGCCATTTATATCATCTATAATGCAATTTGTGGCGAATCTATGCTGCTACATTTTGTCCAACTTCTCCTGTTTGGCTAACTTACACGACAGTGACGTTGATCCATCCGGTTAGAAACCGAAGGATATGAATTATGGCCAGATTAAAAACCGACCCGCTTGGACTCATCGGACCAAATGGTTCGCCAATTATGGATGCTCGGTGGGAAGTTTGTCTCCCTGGAATTATTGTTCTTTGTACTCCCATTTCAATGTTTCGATTGATTAAGCCCTGAAATTTTACCCTAAATAATATTTTTCCTCGGGAGAGGAAATCTGGGCTCCTGATTCACTCCACTTTTCAAATACAGAATTGGAATTTAAAGTTTTCCAAATATTATCAAATACTACATCCGATCTTAATTATAAGATCTCATTTACAATCTACAAATAAAATTTTATGAGTAAGACCGGTGTAGTATTACACTATTACCTCTTTGATTCAACTAGGAAGTCGAGTCAGCCTATGGCATGAACAGAGGGCGGTTCTGGATTCTTTTTGCGAACGGACGGACACAACGCTCTCTTCCAGATGGAGCACACGTTCTGAAAGAGAAAAGTGAAAATAAGTACAACTAGCTCTACCTATTGGTTCCACTAATATGGATGATCGATTCAGGTTGTGTATGGAGAGAACTTTCGAAACAATAGGGAGAAAAAAGTGGTGCCCAAAAGTGAATGTGAGTGAACGAGAAGCGGTGGGCCTTTATTGAGGATTCTAATTCCATGCTATCACCGAGTTTATGCGGAAGGAAGACCATGGCATAAATGCTGACCAGAAAAAAGCAAAGAAAAAAAAGCAAAAAGAACAGAGTGCTGAAAGCTCACTAAGATTAGATGTACAAGTTGTCTCCTGCGAATATTCTCCTTCAATGCCTCCAAAAAACTTGGCCCCACACTTTCAATATGATCCGGACAAGATGCGTCTCATTCCTGTACAACTTTATTTATGGCGATTGGTCCTCTTGCTTATGCTTAAAAACTTTCATCCAGATTCCAAAAACCCATGGCTTCTACTTAAATCATACGGGTATTTCCTAGCTTCTCTTTTCTTTTTTGGGGAAGAAAAAGTGTTAGAAAGCTTTGATGGAACTGATACAGTTTGAATTTACAATCTTTTAGCATTGAAGAAAGCCAAATTTTTTTGGGGGGAATTTTAATGACAATCAAACAGATGGAAAGTAAAACGTAAAAAAAAAGTGTAAAGATGTTCATGGAATAACGGAAGACTTATCGTGGTAAATATGACATGTTAATAAAACTTTTCGTGACTCACTTCTGGAGTTATAATTCTAGCAGTGATCGCACACCGGATTACCTCTGTGTGTAATATTTTAGAAATAAAATATTGGGCGGTATGTAATATGGCACGAAATCTAAAATTTTAGAAATAAGATGTACAAAATTAATTATCAATAAATAGTGTAGGTTTGATAGTTGATATTAATTATACTCGTAATGTCTTGAAAAGGGGGTAACTAGGTATATTGTTTACAAATTCAAATATAACTACGTTCAAAAAGATTTATCAAGAATCATTCTAATGGACATTTTCCTTCTATCTTCTGAGAACCGGTTTTACTACTTTTAAATGAATAATTTACTATACCAATGCACTCTTAAGATTTATTTGCCGTACAAAATCAGCCGAAGATGACAAAATTTATATTCTCTCTCCCTCTCTCTCTCTCTACATAACTAATTAAATATAATTTGATTGCGATTGATTTGTAGTTTCTAATTAAGGGTAATTACTTCCTATTCTGTTTAAATTTAATCTATCATTGTGATTATTGTCACTAATTATAACCTGTGCTTTCCTATTTTGTTTTAACCAAAATTTCCTATTTCTTATTCTTATTTTATACAAACTCGCTTGTATGTCAGATTCCTTTGACACGGCATAATTCTCTTCTTAACTTTACCTCCTTTTTACATTCATTTCTGATTCTAGTTCTTATTTTTTTATTATAGTTTGGAAATACGAATCTCAAGAGTTGACTGGTTATATATAGTCCATCCCATTATATATTCATATTTTAGAAGATCATGTGTTATATATTATTCTCTACCACACGCTCAAAATCCCAAAACACAAGAAAGCAGTGAGCAAGAAGACCCCACGAAGGCTCTGTGTGGTTCAATGAAGTAATCCCAAAGCCAATGGAGAAGAGCGCATCTTCATCTCCAGGAGGCACAGAAGATGGTGGCGGGTGCCTTTCATGCTGGCGAAGTCTGAAATTGAAGCTTCCATGGGGAAAGCGAGCAAGCACTTACAGACCTATTGGTGGCTTTAAATATGACCCTCTAAGCTATGCCCAGAACTTCGATGAAGGTTGGGTCGATGACGATGAAGCTCATACACGTCGTGGCTTCTCTGCTCGATACGCAGCCCCTTCAACTCACAATAAATCGCCGCCGACTGTGTACAAATAAGGTTATAGCCTTTCAACTTGAGGCTCAAGTTATATATTTATATACACTTATGTTTCTAGAGGATTTTGTTTAAGAACTGTTTTGAGTAGTCTTTGTTATTGTTGCTGATTATCGATACAATTGTTCGGTTTCGAAGCTTAAAAATCACCTGCACAGAAGACTAGAAATATCTGTAGTTAATGGGAAGAATACAGAACATTAATTGGGATTCATCGATAATCTGTTATGGTATATGCAACGAAAATGAGCACTGAGCTTCAGCTGTTTTTTTTTCAAATTATATGATTTTCATTTAATTAGTACCAGCTCTCTCTCTCTCTCTCTCTCTCTCTCTCATCGTCTGTCTATTAACTCAACTGTCATACGGAAATACTTGAATAAGAAGCTCAGTGCAGTTCAAACATTAGCTAAAAGGGTGAAGTCCAAAGATTAAAGTCCGGTTAGGATAATTACAAAAGGGAAACACAATCTCAAAATTAATGAATTAATCGGATGGTTTGGTTGCTGACCTGCAACTAAATGAGGTCAAAGGTAAATATGTTGGGGCTTTCTCTACCCAGAGCAATAAAGATGGTTGATTATGTTGAGTTCCTTATTTTGCTTCAGGGTGATCGGTAGTTAGTTAGATGGTTAAGCTATTCTATTATATTTGTAGCTAATTAAGATGTACTGTTAGTTAATAATTATCAGGGGTACGCTCGTCTTTGGCTAAATACTGGACCACGGGTCATTATCAGAATACATACGGTTACTCCAGATCTCTCTCTCGCTATCTCTCTCTCTCTCTCTCTCTAACCTTTCACAGAGGGTGAGAGAGTTTGTTTTCATTTTGCCGTTGCAGCGAGGAATAAGATATTGAGATATATAAAAGTCATATGATCTCAGAAAACTATTATGCGTTTCCATTTTCGTTACTGCTTTTTTTCTTAATTATTTTTCTTGCACAGCATAGGTCTCATAATCCAAGTGTCCGTCATGGCTTGTCTTCTTGTTTGTTTCGTACCCAACAAAACAGAGAACCGGTGGAAAAACAGAACAAGTTGACCCCCAGTCTTGCACTCCACTTTTGCTTCAGCTGATACAGAAGTTATTTGGTAGGAATTTATGCTTTTCGGAAGAGTTGATGTATTTTTAATGAACCAGATTTATTGGTCCATTTGATTTGATATGACTTTTTTTAATTAAAATATAAATAAAACATCCTTTAAAAAATACTGCACTAAAAAAAAGACCATAATTATAATTTCAGTAACATCATCCTCCTAACACTAAGCACGCGGCAAATCCAACTAAAATTTACAGAAGCAATGTCCCACACAAGTTTGTCACCTAACATGATAAAAAACAAAATCAATTAATATACAGGACAACCAGGAACAACTACACCCTTGGCCGTAGGACACGTGGCGAGATCACAGTGCTCGCCGGACGAACCCCACCAGCTCAAGGTCCTGTTCTCCATGGTGAGAGTGAAGAAGAGAAGAAGCGTCATGATGGCCGTACCAGCATCCAAGGCAGCTGACAGAACATAATTGTAACGTTGCCACCACTTCTTACGATAATTATAGACGAAGTAATTAAAGACGGTCCCAACGACGATCCAGCAATTGAAGTTGACGGCGCTAGCCGGTGGCATGTTGGCCGTTGCACCGAGAAGCACAGGGAAGTGAATGTGGGAAATCCATTTCTGCTTAGGGAAGACTCTCTGGAAAAGCCACACCATTAATGGTCCCAACGCACCCACAAGGAAGAACCAGTTGAGGGCTGCGTAATTCCCAAGAGATCCGAAGATTCGTTTGGGACCAACCAATCCCCAAATCACCGACGCATCAAAGAAGACGTTATCGCTCGGACAGGTCCATGGACTGTTCGGAGGCAGTGCGTTCGCATGACATATGTCGTTTATTGAAGTCAGAAGCCACCATGCCACCCCAATGTTGATGGTTCCAGCTACTATAGTCCCTATGATCTATGCATAATACAATAAATGCAACGCATTTAATATAGACAAAATTCATCTATATATATATTTGCTGATATCATTAATTCTTATTCTGTGGTGATTGCTAAATATGCGTTGCATATAATATAAATACCTGAACAATGAACATGGACCGTGGGGGGATCTTCATGTAATGTCCTAGCTTGAAATCACTTAGGAAGAAAACGGCCTGGTACATGCTTATATAGCCGTAGGTCTTGAAGCAGACGTTGGCTATTGGTTGGCCTGGTGATATCACACCCATTATATACTCTGTGATGATATTCAATCCTGGAAACTAAACGGATGCGGGGAAATTCACGATTAGTGAAAACAGCCGCCAAAATTAAGTACGCTCAGCTTATTTTCTCTTTTATATTTGCATCATTAGGTTAAATAAACTGGTTCCTATTCCTACCTGATTAGTCGTGGCCCTTATAATGCTAATGGGAAGTGTGAAAATAAAAGCAAGCCCAGCTGCAAAGATGAGTCCCCACCAAACTAATTGTACCTCGTCTTTCATGAAAACACAGAGTACAAGTGAAAGAACGAACGAGACTGCAAGAGTCACATAAAACCACCAGTTGGGTATGTCCTCATACTTCTTCATCAATCTTGTGTGAATGTCCTCGTTTTCTGTACGTGAAGCTCTGAATCGTCGATATATCTCCCTGCTTTGAACTCTATTAGCACGGTGGTCCAAAAAAGGGAAAAAATTGGAATCCAAATGATTAAGTCAAATTCATTGTTACCTCCCATTAAAAACGGCGACGTGAGACAAAGTAGAAACAATAGCAGCAAAACCAATGCCATAGGTCACAGCAAAGAACGCACTAAGATTCACCCGACCCTGTTTAGCATACTGGTCCAAATCAATCTGGAAATTGTCGTTGACAATGGCCGTTACGTTATATTGCAGGCCTTTGGAATCGAAGAGTTCGTTGGAGAAGATAGGGAAGGTGTTGGCATTATAGAAATTGAAGACCCAATACACTAAGGGCATCATGACGTAGATGACTAAGATGTAGCCGACGGCGACGTTAGCGATTGCGAAAAAGGGAGAAACGAGAGGGCTTTCGAGGTAGGAAGAAACAACGGTCCAATCAAGGGCAAAGGCACCCAAACCAAGTCCTTGCATGCCTGATCCTAGTTGTTGGGCTGTTACTGATTTGGGAAATGCCCAACACACCCATGAAATAGCTGATAGCGTCGGAAAAAGATAGCCCGGCACAACGTACCATGCCAAGCTGCATACAAATGCGATTAAAAAGAATTTCCCCCGCGACATCCTCCTATGGTCTTTTTCATGCAAAGCCCTGTCAATCATATGGCTTACGGTTCATCAGAAATTAAAAAGACATAAAATCAAACCAATGCATGAAAGCTATAAGGTGCAAATGAAAACTGAATCAAAGTACCGAAATAGTAAAATGAATTAGTCACAAAGGGGGCAGATTAGAAATGCAAGATCACGCTATTGACCTGAAGGCTTGGCAGCATCACTAAAGCTCAATGATGAGGATATTTCTATAAAAACCTGTGGTTCTAGGAATCATCAGTAGGTTTATATCGGGTTGCTTGGTTTCTAATCGGTTCTTTTTTGTTACGGGTTGGATTAGTCGGTACAGGATTGTTAAACCTGGTCCAGTTCGAATTGCTCAATTTATAGGTCGACCGAAACATCTGGTGCAAGTTCTCGAATAAAACTTGGTAAATGATTCCAACATTTACTTGCCCAAAATTGAGGAAAAAAAACTTTTACTATACTTACAGAAAGCCTTCATAAAAAACACTAAATATAGTTATAACTAGTAGGTCAAACAAATAAATGAAGCCGAAAAAATGAAAAGAAAGAAGACCTGAACAAGGAGACTTGTACAAGAGTAGAAGGCCACCACATGTGCGCTGGATCTACGACATACTTCCTCAGTATCCCAGCCCATCCATAGCCCAAAACCTACGTGCATGTTCACGTCAATTATATTCACTCTGTTTGCAGTTTGCGTTGAAGTGCACTAATAAATGCACTAGTTACACGCGTGCGTCAAGATCAAACCCTGGTTATTGGGTATTTGGGTGTGTAAACTTGAACTCACCTGCGTTGTGATGACGAGGACCCAACCAGCTAAGAAGCTGATATTTCTTCCGTAAAAAGCCTTTATAATATTTACAATGCTCACGGCGTAAGCGGTATTACCAGCAACGTTGGCGAAGATGGAGATGAGCACGTGTTCCTTTACGTTAAACGGACCCGGGTTGAGTGAGAACTCCCACCCGAGGATCCGAAACTTGGTTGTGGGCAGCGCCTTTGCCATGAACTTGCCGATTGGAAGCGTAGCAATCTGAACAGAGATCATGGTGACGACCATGGGCTCAGCCCTGTACTGGAAGAACGTGTTGATGAAGGAGAGGAGCGCCACTGAGATGAGACCCAAAAACCACATCCGGAATGTCCACACAGGTAGGGTCGGGTCATCGTCGTTGGGCACCGTTACACGGACCTCCTCGATCGGTGATTCGTCGTTGTCCTCTTTGAGAACCGTGAGTTCTACCTCGATGGAGGCCATGATGCTGCTCTGTTTTCACTCCCTGCAAATCACTCTGTCGTCCGCACATGGGGGAGCGACGTTAGTCGTATTTTATAGGATAACCTCTGTGAGTCACGGTGGTTAGGTTATGCATAGATAATTCTTTTGATTCTTGAATTTAATTAATTTGATCATGAATTTTTAAAAATTTATACAGATAATCCTAATTACTCATTACGTCGGATGTTATCTCATTAGTATGGAAATCTGAAGAGATTTTTTCGGCTAATAAAAACTTAAATAATAACTTATATTTACATATTGTTTGTTTAAAATGATTTAAAAGATCTGTTTTTTAAAGATGTATCACACTTTAATGATAGGATAATGAATTAATTAAGAAATATTATTAAAATTATTTATAAATTTAAAAAAATAAGAGATAATATTAGTCGCTAAGAAATTATAACACTTTTTCACAACGCGACCTATTTTCAGCGCAAAGATGAATTATCTCTGAATGGCATAGCTTCTGTTTCACAAACAGAAACGAAAGGGGAAACGTTTGACACTTGATATTAAAGAGCGAAAAATTGATACACACAAAGCTCTGCATCATAAAAAATATTACTCCACTCGTTATTAATATAATATTTAATTAACTAATTTGAATATATTAATGATATTAGTTAAATTTATTAATATGATGTGTTTTTTTTACTTGATTATCTTTATTAATTTCATCCCTCATTCTTTTACTTGATTATTATTAGGAAAATATCAATAAGATTAGTTTGAAAAAAAATTGATAAACATACAAAATAACTCTTATATGATCAATATTATCTCCCCAATTTGATTCTGAACAAGAGGAGTATCATGTTGTTAGCCAGAAAAAATATTCTGTTGTACTACTTATAATTTATCAGTACTTTGATCTCATATTTTTTTAGTGTGTACTCTGTGTATTCATATTTAGTCTATGCTTAAAAGAGTATGATAGGGCTAAAATATTTCTGTGATTATTATAATTATCTAATAAGCAAAATGATATCACTTGTGACTAGACTCAGACAATAGGTTTCTTTTTTTTAAAAAAAAAGATCATAACTTTTTCCTATCATTTTAATTCTTTTGAAATATATAAAAATTAAAATTAGAAAATAGAAAAAGTTTTGCACAAAATACAATAAGATGTGTAGAAAATAATCAAAGAATAGATAATACATTAAATTTGAGAGAACATGCTATTCGTGATTTATAACTAATGTAATTTATCTCGAATTGGATTGTTTTGTGTTTATTTTGGGATTTTTATAAGTTTAATGCTGAAAGGATGCCAATAAGTTTAAAAAAAAAAAACAATGGATGAAATTGAAAAACCTTTTTGACGTGACCAGGGTGCCTAGTTGGAGACAACTTTCATTCTTCTCCCACCCTTCACTCCACAGTAAGAAAATAAATAAAAGAATAATAGTATGTATAGGAAAGAAAACTGGGATGGAAGCAAATAAATACAAATAGCCAGCATTCTATTTTTTTCAACCTTGTGTTCGGTCCAATTAAGTATTAACTTGTCAACAATCTCTATTTTATTCTAAGAAAATATACATTTAGGTGCACTTACTTGTAATTACAAATTTTACTGTTTTAGCTTGTTAGAAAGGGTAATAGTGTCATTAGTTAATTGAGTTTGGACTCTATATAAATGGGTCTAATGTGATGTTGGTTTAATGTATAGAATGTGTTATCCTCACCAATGAGAGGGAGGATAACTTGGGTCTCCCTCCTTGATCCCAATAGTTTTGGGCTGTTGGTTAATCTCTCAAGTGAGAGATTTGGTCAACCCTAAAAGGTTTATTGTATCTTGTTCATCATTAATGACACTTTATACTCTTTATCTTCATTTTTTTGCATGGTATTAGAAGGCAAGTAGGTTGGGAACTCTGAAATCCAAGTTCATACTGTGGGCTCTGGTACCATGTTAATGAGTGGGCCTCAAAGATAAACTGAATAACATGCATGAATATTATTGAACCAGAAAGCCGATTCTTCTGCACCTAGCCAACTTCAAGAAACGAGGAATCAGACTTGGGGTCCAGTCCGCAAAAGCCAAACAGTAAAATCTGAATCATCAGGGAGCACTAGAGACTCCCAGAATTTGTCAGCGACCTTGGAACACAGTTCCAACAAGTAGCTCATTCTATGGCTATTAAACAGCATAAAAATTTCATCACCATTGGCAGAAAAGAGGGTGACATCGTCACCATTATGAAATGGAACTCTAAAATTTTTAATATCTAAAACAAATACAGGATGTTTATGAAACTTTGTGCTCTTAATAGTGCCGATGAAAACCTGCACCAATTGACTGGAAATATAAGCAGGGTTGTCCCTCAAAAATCAAGAAAGCTCCACTTGGTGGAGCCTCTCAGCTTACTGGTTAGGAGCTCCTGGAATCGAGGCTAGTAGGTTGTCCGCCATGGAGAGCCCAAGCAGAAGAAAGAAGTAATCTGAGAATTCGAGAACCAAAGAAAGAGAGGAGGAAGTCAGATAGACTTTAACCCATCTAGGATCCTTAACAGCTTTCTCATAAGAATCTGTTTCAATTTCTTTATCAATAGCAAAGAGAAAGTACTGATAACATGAAGATAAATCAGCATAATTGATAGGATCAGGAAAAATATTATCATTATGCAAATCACTGTGTTGTCGTATCTGATTATCATGATGAAGAAAAGGCAATTGCCCACATTTATAATCATTAACCAAAGCAGGTAGTCGCCTGATTCTAGTGGATCTAATGTTTGATTGAGTAGGGATTAAAGATTGGTCATTATTGCTGCCTACGTGATGGCTGCTGTCATTATTTTTGACAAAAAGGTGGCTCCTCCCTATTTGGAAAGGATAGTGGCGTAATATCTTGTTCTAAAATAAAGGGATTCCTCATGTGCTGGCTCATTCCCTCTTGAGTTATTAGTTAATTGAGTTGGACTCTATATAAATGGGTCTAATGTGATGTTAGTTTAGTGTGTAGGATATGTTATCTTCACCAATGAGAGGGAGGATAATTTGGGTCTCCCTCCTTGATCCCAATAGTTATGGATTGTTGGTTAGCCCTATGAGGGTTATTGTATCCTGTTAATCATTAATGACACTTCATACTCTTTATGCTCGTTTCTTTACATAGCTCGTTATTATGCTTGTACAAAATGAGCTTGGTTGATTATAAAATTTTCTTCCTCTTTCAAATATACCTCGTAATTTTTACAATCCTGGTTTTCCTTCCAGAGGATACACATTTAGGTGCATTTACTTGCAATTACAATTTTCCTTTGTTTTGGTCAGCCATGATATCTATAGAAGCAGTCTCAGTTTATCGCAGATATGTTCCTCCTTCAATATTAGGCAAAGAAAATGTTCCTTCTTCAATAATTCTTTTGCCTACCGTCAATTATAGAAAATTTATTCCCTACTTTTTTTTGGGCCAAAACAGCTCCTTTTACCTCTAATGGAAATTAAGGGCCTGTTTGGCAATCTACAAAAAAGTGATTCTGGATCCCAAATCATAGTTTGGACCCAAAATTTGCCAAACAGCCTAAAAAATGATCAAACCTTGTTTTTGGGCTAAAACCATGGTTTTAAAGCCCAAAAGTATAGTTTGCAAAGAAGCAAAATGAAACCACTTATGGCCAAAAAAATTAAGGACCGTTGGTGATGTTTAAGCTGTCAGATAATATACATGACAAAAAACACCCCATAATTCAATTATTCAATTATAAGTTGTGAAAAAATGTTATAGAATTTCATGTTTAAAATCTTTAAAGCAAAATAATATTTTTCTGTTGACCAAAAAAATCATTTTTCTATAAACTTATTTAATCTTATATTTTATAAATATATATACACATATTAATTAATTATTAATTATCTTTTCTTATATTTTATTTATTATGTTGGTAAAAAAATATATTATTAACAAATTTATTTATTCAAATTAAAATATATTATAAAATATATCTTTTATATAATTATCATATTAACTTATGCATTTTTTTGTAATTTGTACATATAAAAAGTGTTTCTGATAATAACTATATAAACACTCTCATTTTATCAAAATCACTTTTACAAAATTTATTCTTTATAATATATATTCTCTTAAAATCTATTCTCCAGAAGTTATTCTCCAAGTAATAGTTTGGTTTCATCCAAACATCCTCTAAGCAAATTAAAATTTTACAGAAGCACTTTGCAAGTCCCATATTTCAACTTCCGCCGGTGAGATAAAGAGGTACTCCCTCCATCCCTAATTATAATATTTACTTTTTTGAATGGATTTGTCCCTTTTTATAAGGTCCCTTTTGAGTTTGTCTGAACATTTAATGCATTGTTACCTATTTTACTTCTAATAAATTTCATATATTGCATTGAAGGCAACATTCTCTCTTTATTTATCTCATTATTACTCTCTTACATTTATTAGAGGTATATTTGGAAAAAAATGACATTTGTTACATATTAATTGTTTTTAATTAATTTTAACTGTTTTCTTAAAAAGCGCAATTTGACCAAAAGGTTCTTATAATTAGAGACAAAGTAGTACTAATTAGGTGTTTAGAATGTCCAGAAAACACTTTTATAAAGTATTTTTTATATAAATTGGGACACAAATGCTCTCACATACTTGTAATTACAATTTTCCTTGTTTTGGCTTGTCATGATATCTATTGAAGCGATCTCAGTTTATCGCAAATATGTTCCTCCTTCAGTATCAGGCAAAGAAAATGTTCCTCCTTCAGTAATTCTTTTGCCTACCATCAATTATAAAAAATTTATTCCCTGCCTTTTTTTGCCAGAGTAGCTCCTCTTAGCTCTAATGGAAATTAAGCAAATTAAAATTTTACAGAAGCACTTTTCAAGTCCCATATTTCAACTTCCACTGGTAAGATAAAAAGGTACTAATTAGGTGTTTGGAATATCCAAAGAACACTTTTAAAAAGTATTTTTATATAAATTAGAATAAAAGTACTCTCACATACTTATTTTGTTATTTGTTAACTATCATAAGAAAACAGAGAGCAGCATATATTCCAAATTCAACCAGAAAAAGAAATGTTCTTTTATAAAGTTTTCTTCACACAAGTCCCCCTCTTATTTTGGGAGAATGAGAATTAAGAACGTAAAAAACTTAACCTAATGACAATTTAAGTTCCTAAATTCAGTACTTATTATTTTTCTATATTTCAATACAAAAAAAACTGTTTAAAAATCTTAATTTATTATTAAGTTTTTTATGGGGTCGTTAATTGTCATTCTCCCTAAATAAAACGTAGAACGAGGTATGTATCTAAACAAGATAATCAAAGTCACAAAGGACATTTTATTCCGTCCATTCATTGAATGGATTTCTTTGTCATCCTCGTAGGTTTCTAGTAATAATTAGAGTAAAAAATAAAAAATGAAGTGAGAATCTAAACACACAAGAGATGCATTAAATATTTCTGATAGTTCTATGAAAACAGTTCTGATGCGATCCTTAATCATTAGCCACTAATCAGCATATATCTAGAATCTTTATTAAGAGGTGTCATTTAAAAAATAACAAATAACATGAAATCTCATAATCAAAATGGAATACGTTGAAATTCATGAGGGATTGCATGAACTGTTTTGTGCATTGATCACGACATATTCCACGTCACATAATTTGAAAGACGACCTGCTTTGTACAGCATAACAAGTCTAGAACTGGAAGTTAGCTTCCAATAATCCAGTATATAAACTGGTTTTTGTTCTGTTTATTGCATCGCGGTTCCTTTCCTTTACTCTGTCCTTCATAATCATCAATAATGCCTATAATATTGCTATGTTGGGAACAAAAAAGAAAAATTTAAATATACTAATAAACCTCAAAGGTCCAAGCAACAATTTGAATTATTTATGAAAAATACAAAATAAGCACGTGGGAAAAATTTTATTTTATAAAACGTAAATATATTTATTTTAAACTGATGCAAACATCAATTTAATAGCTCGCAATAAAATAAATAAACTATTTATACTCACAAAAAAATATACATAGATAAAATTAAAAAACTATTTAAAAACTAATTTATATATGATTAGAAAGTCACACTATTTTGTCGATCAGGCATTTGAGTGATCGTCAATCTGAGCAGTAACGTGGCGAGATTATTTGGATTATAGTGAATACAGATCACAGTATAATTTTTTGCAATAAAACTTAAAGTTAATTGACATTATAAAAATGAAATTAATTAAAAAAAAAAAAAGCATACGCTCGATGATTGGTCCGCATCAGACATATGAATATATCCAAGGCGAGCAATGGCACACAATTATATCCAAGCACTAGCGTGCGAAGATAATTGCCCGTGCCACCACTAACCCAATCACGTAGTTAGTTACTGTTATCGACTCTGCTATCTCTGCCTTTTTCCTTCATGGCTTCTTTGCCTTCTTCAGTTGCTATCACTGCAACCCCGAAGCGTGAACACGATTCCAGAAAATCTTCTGCAAGTTCCCTTCCCGGCGAAAAGGTGATTTATCTCCCTCCCTCTCCCAACAATTTTCTCGTATCTCTTTAAATGAACTTGTCTATATACTTGCGTTAGATTCAGTGTGTTATATATGCATATTGTTTGATTATATTGGAAGTCACATGGTCGCTGAGACTCTTGGTTACTCACTTTATTAGCTACAATTCTGTGTATATATCCGTTTATTTACGTTAACTCGAAAACCTGCTAATGGCCTGCAATTTATACCTACAGAGTCCAAGCATTTCTTTCCAGAAAAGTCACCGATTCACGCGTTTAGATGGAAGTTTAGATACAAAATATCTGGACTTCCGAGAAGCACTATCGGCGATAAAAGAGGGCAGAGCGGTGGAGACATCTTTCTACGCTCCCTTGTTGCAACAATGCTTGGACACAGGTTCTCTTTCAGATGCACAAATTGTTCATGGCCACATCGAAAAAACTGGTGCCCATGAAGATGTATTTGTCATGGCGTTTCTTGTCAATGTTTATGCTAAATGTAAGGACATAGAGAGTGCTCGCAAGGTATTTGACAATATGCCCAGGAGAAATGTTATATCATGGACCACATTAATGGCGGGTTACGTGCAGAATTCGCAGCCAGAGAATGCCATTCGAGTATTCCAAGAAATGCTGGATGCGGGATCTTATCCTTCGAATTACTCGCTTGCTATTGCTCTCAACGCGTGTACTTGCTTAAACTCTGTCAAGTTGGGGGATCAGTTCCATGCTTTCATAATCAAATATCATATCGACTCTGACACCAGCATTGGCAATGCCCTCTGTAGCTTATACTCCAAATGTGGCAGATTGGATTATGCTTTAAGAGCATTTAAAAGAGTCAACGAACAAAACGTTATTTCGTGGACTGCAGCTATTTCTGCCTGCGGTGACAACGGGGAGGCTACAATGGGTTTAAGAATCTTTGTTGAGATGCTTTCTGAGAATGTCCAGCCTAATGAGTTTACTTTAGCTAGTGCGTTGGGCCTTTGTTGTGAAATTCTCTCCTTAGAACTCGGGACACAAATTCATTCACTTGGTACTAAACTTGGCTATGATTCAAACTTACGCATTAGGAATTCTTTATCGTATTTATATCTCAAATCTGGTTGGATTGACGAGGCTCAAAGGCTATTTAATAGAATGGAAAGTGTCAGCTTGGTTACATGGAATGCGATGATTGCTGGACATTCACAAATGATGGAACTCGCAAAGGATGATTTTTCGATATATCGGAGTGGAAGTGAAGCACTTGATCTCTTCCTGAAGTTAAATCGATCAGGCATGAAACCCGATCTATTTACTTTTTCAAGTGTCTTGAGTGTCTGTAGTAGATTGGTGGCTTTAGAACAGGGGGAACAAATTCATGCTCAGGCTATCAAAACTGGGTTCTTGTCTGATGTTGTCGTAGGTACTTCACTAATTAACATGTACAATAAATGCGGAAGCATTGAGAGGGCAAGCAAAGCATTTCTAGAGATGTCTACTAGAACCATGATATCATGGACATCCATGATTACGGGTTATTCACAGCATGGTAGGTCTCAGCAAGCACTGGATCTTTTTGAGGATATGAGATTAGCAGGAGTGAGACCAAACGAGATCACTTTTGTGGGTGTTCTATCAGCGTGTAGCCATGCTGGCTTGGTCAATGAAGCACTCAGATACTTTGAGATTATGCAGAAAGAATATAAAATAAAACCAGTGATGGACCATTATGGTTGTTTGATTGACATGTACGTGAGGTTGGGTCGGCTAGAGGAAGCTTTCAATTTCATCAAGAAAATGGGCTTTGAGCCCAGCGAGTTTATTTGGTCTAACTTGATTGCAGGTTGTCGAAGCCATGGAAATTTAGAGTTGGCGTTTCACGCTGCTGAACAATTACTTAATCTCAGACCGAAAGATACTGAGACATACGTTTTATTGTTGAATATGTACATCTCGGCGGGTCGATATAAGGATGTTTCAAGGGTGAGAAAGATAATGAAAGAAGAGAAAGTTGGTAAATTAAAGGATTTGAGCCGAATTTTTATCAAAGATAAGGTCTATTCCTTTAAGCCCAATGACAAGGGACATCCTCAGGGTTCGACAGTGTATCAATCACTGGAGGATTTGATTGTTAAAGCCAAAAATCTTGGATACAAGTCATTAGAAAATATGGAATTAAGCGAGGAAGAGGAAGAGGGAAGGGCATCATCAGTCCCGAGGACACATGCTATTTATCACAGCGAGAAGCTGGCCATTGCATTTGGGTTGCAGAACTCGCCAAATTCATCACCAGTAAGAGTTATCAAGAGTACAATAATGTGCAGGGATTGTCACAACTTTATTAAGTATGTCTCAAAACTGACTGGTAGAGAAATTGTCATTCGAGATACCAAGCGGCTTCATAAGTTTGTCGATGGTCAATGTTCTTGTGGGGATTTCGGAGGATTTGTCTGATATATCCTCGAAGAAGCAGTTGTAAATTCCAGAACTGGCTTTTGCGAAGCAGTTGTAAATTCCAGAACTGGCTATCAAAAGCCGACCATGTAAAGCAAGTCCCTTATTTATACCTGTTGTACTTAATAGTAACTTACGATTCTATGCTGATAAAGTTGCAGCTCTCACACATCAATTTTACTTTCATATTGTGGTTTCTTATGAGTTGTCTACTTAAAATAGCGTGCTACTCCTCTTTCTTTCTTTTTTTCCTTTTTTTAATTAGACGTATTTGTTAACTGTTATATTTGGCTTAGGAGGTTAGAGTTTAAAATGGAAGCAAGCTTAGGCTGTCAAAATCCTTGACTTATCTCGGTGGCCAAGCAAGACTCTTAAAACGAGATGAGTTCAAAATTAAGTTAAAAAGAAAAATGCAGAACAGACACAGAAATGAAAAATAATACCGATAGCAAACATGTAAAAAGTAATAACTAAATTTAAGCATTAACCGTACTCCTTTGCTTTCATTTATATTCAAAATCAATCAAGCACCCTCAACGAAAAGTACAACTGATGGAACTAGTGCATTTCTCTATCCTGGTGCCTGAATCTCACTTACGTACGTATCAATTGATAATCAACACATAAAATACTACAGGATAAACCATAATGTCAAAACTAGATCTGATATGAATAGATATACAAAAACCAAAGGTATAATGATGCAGATTGTGTATATTACTTTTTTGTCTTCCAGTTTCTCTCTGGAATTTGAACTATATCTTCTATATGAGATCACAAAGCATGGCGTGGGTTAAAGATAAGGAAGCGGTGGAGTTAAAAAGGCAAGCCAAGCCAGCTTTAACCTCGCTTCGCAAGGCCCATTTCTATATCTCTGTGTGGAACTAGATTTTCCCCCCATTTTTTCCAAGTGAACGAGAGCAAAAGATATCACATGAAGTGAAAGGATCGCCTTCTACTTTTATTGCTAGAGCTCCTTGATTTGCTTTCTTCATAAGGCGGTTTCCAGATGATATCATCAAGATTGCTACAGAAGTTCTTGTAAAACTGCAACATAGAGGAAGTAACTGTGATCATAAAATTAAAATTCAAAAAAATGGGGCTGAGGAGAAGGGAGGTGAAACGTAACAGCATTTCTCAGGACAACTGACCTTGAGGTATTCACCTACGTCTCCAGCTGCCTTTTGAATGTCCACCATAAAGAATGACGGAGCAACTTCAAAAACCTTCAGACAAGAAGGGAAAGAAATGAATTAAATAATTAGCCAAGCGACGAATGGGTCATGGGAAGTTAGCAGAGGGAAAGAAACTTACTTCCAGGATGACTGAGAAAAAAGTTTTATTTGCTGCCATACCCTCCACTCTCATCTGAAAATTCAAGCCAATAGGCCTCCGGATTAGTGAGAACTTCAAGCAAAATTATTCTCCAGTTGAAACATAGATTCTGATGAATGTTTGCGCGACAAAATTTTTTTTTCCTTTTTGGTAAGGGTTTTTTTTTTTTTGGGGGGGGGGGGGAGATCCAGAGCAATGCTAGTGGAAGGATGAGGATGCCCACCTTATAGTTGCGAATATGCGTCTTAAATCCCATTGACTGAGCCACAACTTCCATGCTTGATAAAACCACCTTTGCTGGCTTTTGAGAGATAAAGCGTGTTGGGTACTTCATGGAATCCTGCAAAGATATTTCAAAAACAAGCATCACATCTCAACCCTAGATATGACAAATATTTAGAGCCTCAAACCTTGAGTTAAAAGGACAAGAGTAATAAGGTATGGCGATATATTTTATCACAGCATGCCTATTTACTTGGTAAAAGATCCCAGACTTAAAATGGAAAGCTCTACCTCAGACGATGTCTATATGAACCTATATTCGTCTATTTGAATTCTGATGGTAATTAGATATGATTACTAAACTACTAGAAGACAAAGAAGAATACAGATGATTACCCGTCCACGATCGAAGATTGTTGCAAGATTTAAGCCTTGAGATAGAATTATCAAGTCAAATGCACTAAGCATTAATGGACCCCCGTCTTCGTTTTCACATTGTTGGTTAACCCGCTGATCCTTCAATGACAAATCAATCAATGTGTCATCGAAACTGAGAAAGTAATTGCCACACGGATGTTCTAGCAATAGGGAATCCAGCCTCCTTGATTGAAGAAAAAGGGGCATGTGAAAAAAATGTCAAACTTTTTGGGATTTTAGTCAGTTTCCTTGACTTAAAATTTGCTTTATCCTCCTTGACCTTTCATAAGCACACCAGATTTTGTTGATGCACCATGTCAGCAATTAATTTTCAGACAACAACCCAAAAAGTATTTAATATGGTTATAATGACTTTTCCTCCATAAATCTATATGGAAAATATGTTGGTGAGGAGGACGAGAATGCATAATGTAAATAATTCATTTTAAAGGTTTGAAACTAAATGGATTCATGAGACCTAGCTCAAAGGCATAAAATTCTAGTAGAATTCTGCTCAACAAGATGCAGAATTTAAAAGTCATACTGACCTCAGCATCATCGAAAGCTGCATTTACATCATCCAGGTTCACATCTTCATGCTCAAGAAGACTGACAGGAACATAGTTCTTCTGAAACCACTCATCACTTTTTATCTGTTCAATGGTCATGCGCTGCAAGCACACATGCACAAGAGGGGGCAAAGAGGAAAAGAGGCTTGTCAAGAACAACCAGAAACCTTAATAGATGTTTATCAAAATATTGAATTCATTCATTAAATAAGTGATACCATTACATCACATGCATAAATTTAGCACAAGCATGAGTTCAGAAGAAACCACAAAGGGCATGAAAACTCTGCATTCTCAATCTTACAGTTTCAGGATTTGGGTCCAAAATTCTATGTATTAAAGCTTTTGCTCCCACAGGAAACCACGAAGGGCATGAAAACTCTGCATTCTCAATCTGCAAGAGTCAAGAAAAGGACCAAAGCATTGATAATAATCAAAATTTCGCTCCAACATAAACACAATTTATGAAGCAATCTTTACCATAAGAAACTTGAGGAACTAAGCTATCACCTCAGTATATGCACAAGATTACCAATGAACTTTTCATTCTATGCAATAATAAAATTTGACACATCATGTCTTTAAGGGGGGGAAAAAGGCTGATAGATCATGCATGCTTCTTCACACACACACACGTGTATATATGTAAAGCACCTGGGAGATAAACTCTATGTGTGGAGAAATTAATAATATATAATTGACATGTTTAAGTTCATGCCTTACTGTATAAGGTAGTTAGATCCAACTCATCAAAGGGAAGATATCCAGCAATTAGAACATAAAGAATAACCCCACAGGACCAAACATCTGCTGCGGCTCCATTGTAACCCTTGTGACTAAGTACCTGAGGTGAAAATGATGCGTGCCAAATAGAGAATGAAACATAAAATTAGTAACTATCAGTTGACATCAACTCAAATCTAACCCAGCTCTGATCCAACTTCAAATTTACCTCAGGGGCTACATAGTTTGGAGTCCCACAAGTCGTCCGAAGGACACTAACCCCCTATAAATATTCATCAGGTATCAAACCATTCAATATAATCCCATCCTCAAGTCAAAGTCAGATTTCAAATCTATTGATGAAAATCTCACCTGTTCTGGCAATGCACTCAAACCAAAATCTGAAATCTTTATATTTCCTAAAGAATCTAGCAGTAAATTTTCAGGCTGCAGAAAGGAAAAATAGCAATCAATAGAAAATCACAAGTAAGGATAGATGGCAGCTTCACAGATCCCAGTCCATGCAAACCTTCAAATCTCTGTGATAGACTCCCTTACTGTGGCAATAATCTACACCATCAATAAGCTGTTGGAAGTATCTTCTAGCTTCAGCTTCACTAAGACGGCCATGGTGTACCTGCACATTCATTTTTACTTCTATTATAAAGATTGCAACGAAATAGTAAAAGATAAAAATCAGTAAAAGCTACAAATTCACAGGTCCATCTTGAGCTACTCACAATTTTATCAAACAATTCACCACCTGTAATGAACTCCAATATGATGTAAATCTTTGTACGACTTGCTAGAACCTGAAAAAAATCATAATTTACAAAAGAAGCGAGCACTCGTTAACTGTGACAATCAACAGGAAGAACATCTTAATAATTGATTTCAGAACTATCTTCAGTCCGCCAAGCTCTTCTTTCAAAACATTTAAAAGGAACAAAAACCAATGAGTGAGAGAAAGTTACAGCAATCCAATACAAATTATGAAATAAATTTCCGACACCATTCCTCTTTAAAAGAAAATAGAAAGAAATTCTATAAATTCAACCCCACTTGTATTTACCTGAAAACCTTTCTAAAAAATTTGCTAAATACCATATTTCATACTTTGTCGCTAATCATGATTTGGTGAATAAATTCTTTATTTCAGAACCAAAAGCCCAGCAGGACTTAGTGGCCATCATATAAAAGATGATTTTACAGAAAATACCACGTACCTCATGCAGACGAACAACATATGGATGTCGAACTAGCTTCATGATAGAAATCTCCTTCTTGATCTGCATAATAGAGAAAAATTCAATACAAATGAATTTTTTGCCTTAATAAGAAAAAAAGGGACGCATAATCCAAGGCTCCAGGGCCGTGCCTCTTACACCATGTTTGGCATTTAATCATCTTTATTCAAACATTTTGGGTTTTTAGATATGTTAAAGATCAGATGAATTTGAATGGTACACAGATACAAGATTACAAGATCAACATCTAAACACTAATAGGCAGATTGGGGGCTCCCCATTCTTTCCTTTGAATTCAACTGAGTGTTAGAATTCCCTTTTGATGCTAGAGAAGAAGACAACAACCTAATTTGAGAAATTTCCTCCGATTATAAGTATTTCATAACTCCAGAAGGTATGTGAGCGAAAAGCTTTGCCGACTTTCATAAACCATTAATTTTGGCCTTACTTTGATTGTAAATGTTCATGTTAAAACCAAAAGGAGAGATCTTCAGAAACACGTGTATATTAAATCTTGGTATGTTAAACTCGCATATCCAAATATCCGTAAATGAATAGCACCTAGATAGCGAACAAAACACCTTCTTAAAGTCACTTATTGGAATGCCTGCTTGGCTCAGTCAGTATATAATAACTGCATTTAAATTTCTGGATATAATTTATCACTGATAAGAAGAACAGTCATGGTGTATTTGTGGAAAGTGCTCGAGACATTCAAGCTTTGCTAAGCGTATGGTTTGGCAATGCAACTAGTTAACTCCTAGCTCTAAAGGATCAACTGGGGGAAGCCATTTCACCTACGAAATGAAGAAGCTGGGGAAATCACAACACCAATAAGAAGGGAAATTCAGAGAACTCATTATATTTGAAATCAGCTAAGCCTTCACAGCTACTAAAGAGCAAACAAGTCCCGTTTTCCAAGATTACATCGCTTTTGTCCACTAAGTCATGCATTTCCTCGACGAGAGGCGTGATTTGAACAATTAGAGGGCCGATTATCTAACAAATGGGTCGTCACAAGTAGAAAAAATTGGGAATTTTACACTTGCCTGATCGACCATCTTGTGCTTGATGATGGTGCTACGGTCGAGCACTTTCATGGCGACACTCTCGCCAGTCTCTGTGTTCTGAGCGAACTTCACCTTGGCGAAGGTTCCCTCCCCAACTGTTCTCCCGATTTCGTACTTTCCCACCTTCCTCACTACCATGGCTGCCTCTCTCGCTCTCTCTCTGTTTCTTCTCTCTCTGCTTTTCTCACCCCAGCGAAACCACACGCTCACAGCCAAGAACTCCACTAAAGCTTGTTGCAAATCCAACTTTACTAACAAGCTACTCAATTCCAATTACTATTTAAATAATTTGTCTTCGTTGTTGATTTGGATGGGAAGGATTTAGAATTGAAAAATGAAGGCCAGCTGGGAAGTGGTTTGGTAAGTTACACAGACAGGAAAGCAAGAAGAAACTAATCCGGGGAACTAATATTGGAATACGGACCAACGACCAAAGATTGGCTGGATCTCCACTGGGGAGAAGGAAAAAAGATCAGAAGAAGAAAACAAAGTACCAATCGTAGCTCAAACATGTTCAATAAAAATAAAAATCAGAAGATCAGGCCAAATTTATTTTTTAATTTTTAATTTGAACTTATAAAATATCAATTGAATCAATACACAAGGAAAAATAATAATAATCAAATAGATAAATAAAATTATTCGGATGACTTAATATTCTACATATAATTTTGTTTAATTTACAAAATGCAACATTTAGAAATGGACATAGGCGTAGCTCAAGAGAGACGGCATTAGAGTCAGTATGAAATTATTATTTTGTGAGATTTTTAGTGTAAGTAAATGTAAATCCAGAGAGTAACTTGCATAAAAGTTGGTATGGATTATAATAATGATGGGAAGCAAGTAATGGGATGGCATGCTGAGTCTGAGAATATTAGGTGGGGAGTGGCGTAATAAGTAATAACGTGGGGTGCGGTAATGGGGGCGTGACGACGGAGACAGCGGAATTTGACAAATGAAGAGGTTTCCCCGGACAGCCACGGACGTGGACGTGTCTCCTTTGATGCCCCTTTCACTCTTTTACCTCCCAACATCAATGCCTTGCTACTGCCAGGGGCTATGAATTAATAAATGAAATAATATTTTAAAATTAGATATTATATTTCCAAAGAGATTGGTTTTAAAAACTGAGATCTCATAGCGCCAGTTTTGAATTTTTGATGAGGGGATCATTTATGTGCAGAGTTGAGGAAGAGAAATAGTGAGGATACCCTAATTTTTTTTCTTTTTAAATACTTCACCCGGTATCTCAAGCTACTTTATATGTTATGGGAAACTCATCAGACTCAAACTAATCTACATTCAGTCGTCACAGGACCGGAAAAGTGGCTAGCCTACCACCTATTTAATGCTGTTACATGCTTAAGACTCAAACTCAAGGCTCTTGATTAAGCTAGTACAATGCCTCACCAATGAACCCAAGTGCTTAGTGGTGAGGATACCTAATTTTAGCAAGTGCGCCAAGTTCATTTGAGTTAGACTCGTCAGGGTATGGGGGAAAGCAAACTCTGTGCTTGCTCTAGAGTGTCGGGCACGGCTTTCCCCACCTTCTTTTTTTAATACTAGTACATGTAAATGTAGAGCATGACCTACGTAAAGCAGTTACAGCACAGCTGACTTCTTGATACCAGTTTCCTCATCATCCTCCACACTTGTGCCTTTTTCTTCCTCTCTCTCAAGTTCTCTCTTATTTTCTGATTATATCACTGGTAACATCCCTGGATACGCCCCTTTTCAAATGGAAGACTTCACAAAATTAGTCCACATTAAACCAATCAAAATCACAAAAGACAGCGAAATTCTTCCATTAATTATTTAACACCACTACATTGTGAGGATTTAAACATTTTTATCATCATTTCCAAGTTTTAAATTTTCTGGTACTCTTAAATTTCCGTAATCGTGCAACAATCTCGTGTTATACACGAATTATAACACCAACTTGGTTTTTTTAAATTTATGCGACAAATAATTCATCCAGTTACGACCAACAAGAATTAGCCCACAATATTTTATAAATTTTGCTCACAACGAGTGCGAATTTATTAAACATTACTCCCTCCATTCCTTATTATAAGAGACAAATAACCGAATTACGTTGATCAAAAAAGCAGTTAAAATTAGTTAAGAACAATCAATGTGTAAAAAATATAATTTTTTTCCTAAAAATACCCTCATTAATAAGGAGAGAGAACAATTAAATTATTAAAAGAAAGAGAAGTGAGAAGAAGAGAGAGTGTGAGTTGGAGACAATAAATATGGGTAAAATAGAAAATCAACACAAAAAAGTAGAGACCACTTTTAAGTGTTTCTTATATATAGGAACATGCCATAAACATTAAATGTCTCTTATAATAAGGAACGGAGGGAGTAATAAACTCGAGCAGGCGCCACGCTTTTAACATTGAATTGAATGCCGAATATTGATATTAATCAACGTAACCAAAGCCAACACAACGTTGTGTCCTCTTGAATTTTTGTACGGATCACTCAAAGATCTGCATGATCAACGAGAAACTGGAAATTGGCTAAAGAACTTAGGTGTACAGAACATGGGTGTTAGCGGAGTGTGAATCGCACTGCACCATGCGGTTACCTTAACTACTAGACTGTTGCATCACTATAGAAGACAAGCTAATGATTCTTTTTCACCGTTTCTGTCATAAACACTGGCCTGTCCTGATTAGGGTTATGTTCCTGCCTTGGTTGGTTTTATAACTAAAGCAGTCGAGCGACGTAAATGATTAGTAAATATCAAACACGGCATCAGATCCTGATTATACTGCAACAATAATGGATAATGGAGACAGCTGCTCAGGAAAAGCAATAAACTAATACAAAAAGTAATTAAAATTTACACTCTTAAACAATGCCTTGGTCCCTTCAACTATGCACAGCAAACAATGTTCATACCAATGCCAGAGAAAAAGTAACCATTAAAAATGAACATTCATCAATCATCACAACCTGTTCAAGTTTCATCGTTATTGAAGCCCAGTGTAATAATGAAAATCAAAGTAACTCCCATTCAGTATCTCATTCACACAGCAGATGAAACTTTGGCCGCAATCTTACCCTCTTGATTCAAAGCCCCACCACCCTGTTGTCTGCCGTCAATTCCAGCTGTTACCACCTGGTATGGTGGCACCACCCCACCTGGTGGAGGCGCCGATGTTGCGGCTGCATAGTAGACCTGCCTGCCAGCATTGTCGTAGGCTACCTGAGCATATCCAGGTTCAGACACCCCAACCTTTGGCTGCTGCACAATTCCAGGAGTTTCAGTGTAAGCCCCAACTTTGGTTTGGGCATGTGATAGAGACGTCGGTGGTGCCGCATTGTACATTTCCGCCGGGACCATCCTCGGGACTCCATAGTAAGGCTGACCAACTGGTCCAGTCATAGGTCGCAAAGTAGTTGCATGGTACACCCCGGCCGGTGTCGGGATGAAATACACCGGCTGTTGCTGATCAGTTCCGGCTGCAGAAGCCCCCAGTGGATAAGCAGTACTTGTCATGTGTCTTTCGGGCAAAAACGCAGACGTCGCCGACGCAGGAACTGGACCTGTATGTACATTCGAAGGCACTGGTGGCGGCGCCACTTTCTCTGGATTTTTCTGAGAGAAATAGTCCATAGTATAAACTCTTCCATTACCTTCATCGCTTTTCCGCTGTAGGAGTTGCTCATTGTTCACAATGTGTAATCTCTGCAAATCCTGGATCTGTCTTTGGATCTCGGCTGGCGAGAGCAATGGTTCTCCAACCACGTGACGATCCTCCGACACACATTCTGATCCCGTTGACAAATCCTTCGCCACCACATCCGGAGCCGTTGGAACAGGAGCAGAATCAGGCAATTTCGTCACTGGAACCCCCGGGTAAGCCTTATCCAACCCAAACAGAAAATCCGGGTTCGTAGCCGAGACTGGAGCCGGCGGCGAGGGACCATCCAGCTGTTGAATCTGCACAGAATTGAGAGCATCCACGAACCACTGCCGCTCCGGTTTCAATTCGGACGACCCAAAACTGGCCGGAGCCGACGGGGCCAGGGGGAAAAGAAAGAGCCTCAACCTAGCGGGCTTCGCGGAGGCACGGTACAAGCGGTCGTACTCAACCATCATGTGCTCTAGATCCTCATCGTTGGTGACGGAAATCAAAGCATCGAGATCCTCGCCGGGAAGTTGGTACTTGAAGCAGACGTCGGCGTCGCACAGGGAAAAGAGCTTTGCCATGAGAGCGGAGAACTTGATGTTGCGATCGACGGCTAAGATCTTGGTATCCCCGCCGATGTAAGCAAGCTGATTATCGTGAGGCCGGGGTTGGATTTTTCCGCCATAACTGCACATAAACTTGACTTTGTAATTGGTGGCGGAATTATTGTTAGGCTCATCCCAGGGGGGGTTCTCGCTATCGATTTCGCGAGACCTGGGGGAGGAATCGCGCGAATCAGGGTAAGAAGAGTAGGAATAGTTCTCCATGGATGAGGGTCTGAAGAAAGTGTGTCGGGGAATTAGGGGTTGATAGAAAGGGAGGTGAAGGCCATGGCAGGACTGCGGAGGGTTTGTGTAGAGTGAGGAAAACGGCGTGACGGCACACCGGATCTTTTATGGGACGTGGGGCAGCGGATTCTCATAAAGCGACGCGGAGCTCTCTCGGGGATGCGGGTCCCACCTTTTGGTTTGTTCAGCGCCGGATCGATAAAATTTCTCTTCGCTGGATGGAGACCCCTTGTGTGGCTTTATAATTGTAAATTGGAAAAACAAATGCAAAAGTGAGTGCCTTTCGGATTTTAAATTTTTATTATTAGACTAATTTAAATTGATTAAAATAATTAGTTAAAATAATTATCTATAATAAATAGATTTTTTAATATCGTTACTAATTATATGTATTAGCTAAAATATTATGTCATGAAATATTTAATATTTCTAATTACTATAAATATAAAAAATATATAAGAAAAAAAATATATTATATTTCAAATTAAATTGAATATAAAATTAATTTTTATGTTTAAAACGAAAGGTAGCAGTAAATTTTTGTGACTGAGGAGATTTTTTTTGTTTTTGGGGGGTCAAAAGGAGCGTTTAGTTTAGTACGTACCCCACTAGATCATTAATAGCAGAACCATGAGAGAACTAGTTTTTTTAATGAAAAAAATAAACGGTTTACAGGCACAGGCTACAGGAGCCTCCCCCTCTTTTCCTCTCCCTTCACGCCAGAGCCTACATTCTCTTTTTGACCGGAAGCTGAGCTAGGGCCTATATATATATATATATAAATATATGGTGAGGCGCATGAAATGAGCTTGTTGCGGTTGGATCATAAAGTGCTGACATATTTATTTATGTAAGTACTCCTTGTTTGCTAAATATAAAATTTATTTTATAATATGAATTATATTATAAAATAAATTTTTTTTGACCGGCTATTATAAAATAAATTCTATATTTAAAATCGAAAAAGTCATTATTTATTTGGTGAGGTAGGAGTAATATTGTATGGCCTGATCAAATGGGGATAGTTGTGCCATATGGTCTGTGATTCCTGATGTCATTTTTGTCCTGTCCGATGTTCAAGTCCATAAAAATTAAAGTAAACATAGTAACTCATCACCACTCTCAGGAGGCCCCCTGCTTAATTCTGCGCGAGCGCGCGCGCGCGCGTGTTGAAAATGAACAAAACTCTAAGCTCGTAATTAGCTTCAAGCGGGTCGAATGGCCTCCAGCTGCACTGTTCGCACCCCATCTGAAGATTAGAGTCCACAACAAAGCTGGCAATACATATAACGCATTGATATATGCGGTTAGTGTTTGACTTCACACATTTCATGGCAAACAACTGGCTCTTCCTTGGTTAATTTAACTCATGTCAGCATGTGCTCGTGTTCTGGTGACAGTTGACATGCTCTTCATTTGCATCTGCTTCTCTCATCTTATTTATAAAATCTCAGCTATTACTCTTTAACCTCTCTTTTTTTTTTTTTTTAATACATACTTTGATCTCTTTTGCTCTTACATTTTTCACTTTATCCGTCAAACATGTCAACAAAAGGTTGTAAAATTCCTGACATTTAACTTGTCTGGTTAATCTTGTGAATCTCACGAGAGCTGTTGATATGATATCATAAAAAAATACCGCAATCTGTATTGATTTACATGTGGACATGATAGAATTGATACATAATACTACTTCCGGTAATTAATACAAAACCTTGTTTGATTTTTATTTTGGTCCTAAATATAAGACCCCAATCCACTTTGTCTATCTTATTTACTCAATTTTTTCAAGATAGTCATTTTAATAATTATAGTTCTAGTCAATACACTTGATTAGTAAGGATATTTTAGGAAAGACAACACCTATTTAGAACAAATAACTAACTCAACTTATTTCCTTAATTCTCTCAAATTAGTTAACTGACTCTTATAATTAGAACCGGAAGTACTAATATAAGATGTATCTAAAAGTATGCTGTTCATGTGCTTGTCCCATACTTGGCTGGGGACTCATTATCGTTGCAGGAATATAAAAATATCAATTATAAATAACAATTCACGTACTTGAATCAGCATCGCAATGCAACCACACAACCAAACAAATAGAAAAGATTTAAAACAATAGAAAGCAGTGGAAGCAATAGGAGAAGACAACAACATTTCCCCGGTTTCGGTTAATCAGCGGCGGAAACACTGCTCTGGGTTGTCGTTTGCGGGGGGAGTGGCAATGACACACAAAATTTATAAAGTAGTTGTTAACAAATATTAAATATATTATTAAAGCCCGAAATTAACTATTTGCACAACGTAAATCTACAATTGAAAAGGATAAATATTATTTTTCGTTTACAAAAACATAAATTTAAACATATATTTAAATCTACGATCGTTAATAATTTGATCCTTTGGAGCATGTGATTTTCTCCGGTTTACTTGCTCTCAGGAATTAAATTTGTCGTCTATTGACAAATCTTTATTAATTGTTTTTCGGGCGATAAATTAGCAATTTTTAATTATTTTTTTCACCTTCGCCAGAGCCCATAGAGGAATTGGTGGGGCCTGTGCTCTCATCAGATTTTGGTGCGGAGCAAAGGCAGCGTGGGGATACTTTTATTTATTTATTTTTTTTTAAAGCTAATAGGGGGAGACGAGATTACGAAATTGAAGAGCGATCTCATGAGATCCAGAAGAATCAGGTGACGATGACATTAGCGGAGAATCTTCGCCTCCGCGTGTTTGCAAGAAATTGCTATTGATTTCGCTTCATCTTTTGTGAATGAATGATCCCTCGGTTAAATCCCTTTTATCTTGGTGCACACTAAGTTTAATTGTACCTTTTAATATTATACTTCAATTTACTACCTTTCTTTAATTTTTTTTCCCAGGATTCGGGGGTGATTGACTCCGATTTTGGCTTTCCTCATAGCAATGCCGCTTTCTAATACCCCATGATTAATAGCTAAATTAGCTCGGTAAACATAAGGTTCCATTTGGTAGGAAACATTGAAAATAATGGATTGAATTGGGATTGTAATTTGAAAAAAATCATTAAAATAGTATTTAACATAAGTAATTACTTATTATATAGGATTAGACAAACCCATAAATGTGAAATTGGAGAATACCACTCTCATAGATATGGGTTTGGCTAAGGAGAAAACTTAGATCAAGTTCATTACGTCCAGTCCAACCAGTTCACCAATCAACATGCGCCACCTGGATTAATTGAACACCTCACCATTTCACACCGTCTCCCTCCTTTAACCAGCCGCAAGTTCCTAAATCTACAATTCTATCTGCTATTATGGAATTAATTACAGTGCTCAGCGGCTATCAATTGATTCCCCATTCACAGGTCACGACAAAACAAATCAAAGTGGTGCTTCACTCCTCTTTTAATTAAAGACTGTGCTTTACTATCGACAATTGAAAAACAGTTTGCTCTTGGAATTATACTGATATGAAATTTTTATGCATGAGGCAGTTCTTTGATTTTCAAAACCATGGGTACCTAATCTTTGGACTAGAAACAAGGTCTTAAACTCTTTCAACGATGATTTTAAGATTAAGAAAGATGATGACAAAGCAAGAGCGAGGAAGAACCTAAAGAGCGACTTGAGCAAGATTTGACGGCATCGGCAATCACAATTTAAAACCAGGTACCTGCTCATAATTCAGGTCATTGATACCCAATACCTACAAATCATGATCGCCACTCCTCTTCACCGATCATGAATCCACAACATAGATTGTTGTAGTCCTCTGTTCGTGAAGTTTCCTCGACTGACAATCCACTTTGCTGAGCGCACCGCCACTGCCCTCTTTCACCGCCGCTGCAAATGCTGCCCACTATCACCATTTCTCATCGGCTACTGTCATTTCTTCATGATCACCGCTTAAACGGAGATAGGGAGAGAGATCCATAGTAGCAAACAATACTGTAGATTAGGAAATGATTGTATCCTCAGGAATCTCCTGCCTTCTCTGAGGCTCAAGTTTCACAAGATCTTGGTAATGCTATCTCAGATCTCTTTCCCCGATGTAATATGTTTTGATTTGTTTATTTTGAAGCTCAAGCTACCTTGTTTCCCAAAAAAAGAGAGGAAGGAGATGATTAATTTAACGTTGCGACTCGTTAACGGAGGAGAAGACGCTATGAAATATTGATGTGTTTAGTGAATCCAGGTGGCACATGCTAATTGGAGAACTGGTTGGACTGGACCTAATGAACTGGATATAAGTTTCTCCTTTGGCTAATCCCATATAACAAGTAATTCTTATATTACACTCTTTTAATAAATTTTTTTAATTCTGTATCTCTCATTTTTAATGTTTTCTACTAGATGTAACCTAAATAATTAAAGGGTACAAATTCAAGCCAGCATGTTTGAAAATGTGGGAGACGCTGTAGTCTCGCATTCATCTTTCACGCAGCACATCGCGTGGTGATGTTTGTAAGTTCAGGACTCAGATTATATTTTCGAAAATATGGTTTATTCCATCATTTTTTAAAAAATTAAAAGTATGCTATCTACATCCAGCACGTAGACGCTCGGAGCCGGGTCGGACTGTCTCATGGACGCCTCGGTACGTTGTACCAAACAACGCTCGGAGCCGGGTCGGACTGTCTTATGGACGCCCCGTGGACGTTGTACCAAAACAAAAGTTACATATTGTATTTGAATCCTCAATGTTACAGGTTTTTTTTGGTTTTTTTGGGGTAGAGCGTCATGTTAGATTTTCCAAGGGACCTGGGAGGCAAAAGTCTGTATCTAACAACCCACATCAATTCATAAAATTCTGATAGGGAGTTCAAAACTTAAATCAGCTACTCTAGCGAATAGGTCGGTGTGGACTGTAGGCCGTGGCGTAGGTTGAAATTCGGTCAAACCGTACCATGATTTGTGCACACCAATACCCAATCATGTCTCAGAATTCTGAATACCTGCTCCTCTTTTTTTTGAGAAAAAAAAAAAAAA